TTGGAGAAAATGGGTGTGAAGAGGAGGAAAGCATAGTAGGAAATAGCTAGAAAGGAGTGGAGAGGGAGAAAAATAGATGTGGCAGAAGCTGGAAAGATTTAGTAAATCAAGTCAGTAACATTTAATAAGAGTATGCTAATCACATCTGCACATACTTGCTGGCTACCGAATAGTTACCCATGGAAAGTGCAGGTCCTTCGGGTCTACTTATTTTTGTAACACTGCAAGGAAAAACTTTGGATCGTCCCAAAAGGCAATATCAGTAAAAGTGTAGAATAAATTCTGCAACATGGATGAATTCATGCTATGCGTGTGAAGGAATGTGTTTGATGCTAGATGTTGAGAGCTTGGTGTTCTCCATTTAAAAACAAGCAAAGACAAGCTCTAGTACTTAACTGAGACAGTTTTTAGTAACCAGCAACAAAAATGAATTAATCTGTAACAGGTATGTGGTAATATATACTATTTAATGAAGTTTCATCAGTATTTTTTAACCTCTTATGGCTCTTGTTTAGCCAATTTTAGTGCTGATAAGATACTGTTCAGAAAATATGTTCCAATAAGTTTCAGTCATATTCCTGAAAGGGTGCATTTCGTGTTTTTCTTCACTGTTAAGGAAGCTGCGATGGCAGCTTCCACAGACACTTAAGCTTTTAAGTTTTAGAAAAAATCCAGGTATTTTTAAAAATTGTCATACTGGATTAGATCAAAGATATTTCTAACTTGGTGTTCCATTTCCAGTGAATGCCTAGAGAGAAATAAAATACTGCAACTATAAGGTGATATCTCCACAAATACTATCGCAGTCTCTATGATTTGTTACTTGGGGTTTCCTGAGCCTAGGGCTGTATCTATCTGTGTTTTAAAAAGAAAAGTAAGAAGCAGTAGCATAGATTTTAATGACTTAATCCATTAAGTATGTATTGCATGTGCTTTTGCAGTCCTCAGTTTAAAGACAGACTATTTCATTTCACACTGTTTCAGGCATTACCTATAATTTTAACTATGGCTGAGTTGATGGCTTTGATAGTTGTTGGATATATTTTTAAAAAGTTGTCGAAAATGTTTTTAACTGGTAATGTATGTGCAAAATTGCCAGGATGATTGTATTTTAATTCAGTACCACCTATTTTGCTATAAATACAGGAGTGGAGTAAAATTTATTTGTCAGAATTTTAGGAGGAAACATTACTGACAACCAGAAGTTAAAGCAGTACTAGTATTAACCAGGGATAGAGGAGAGGAGGAAGAAGTGCTTGAGCAGACACAGGAGGGAAATGCTACGCTCTTTTGCCAGATTCCATCTTTGACGCCAGTCTTTGGCTAGTGAGTACTTGTTCAAATAGCTGGGAAGGTGGAGGAGTGTTTACCTCCTATTTGGTGCAAGGCAGATGGATGTGGGGGTGTGGTGAGTGTTTGTGTATATACCCACGTGTGGGCGAAATGGAAAAATGTGGTCTCTGCTTATTTCCTCTTCCCACTTCCATTTAGGTAATACACTTGTATAAATGTTTTAATCATAACATTGATGAAATCTCAAAGTGTTCCTTTTTTTTTTTTTTTTCCTAAGCAGAAAAGAGAAAAAGATTAATATCTATCTGCTGAATCACTCCCCTGCAGGAAAATATGAAACAAAAAAAAAAAATGTTCGAACTGCAATGTTTCTGTGCAAAATGGTTTACACATTTTTCCATAAAAGATACATTTATACGTTAGTGTCAAGTGGCCCTTAAACTGACTTCCATCTGGTATAAGCCAGTGTTTGTACAGGGGAGTGCTGTATGAAACAAGTACAGAACAGATTCTGACCAGATCCAGGTCTAACAGGTTTTTTCACTCTTTTTTTCTTTATCTGGGATTGATGATCCGAATCGCCTAAAATGGTCAACAGGGAGTCAAACCCAAAGTGTTGTAGGACCCTGAAGGATTTGCTTTTGCTGTTGTCACTCTACATGTGTAATCAATTATGGACATAATTACACGGGTTTGGAGTCTGTTAATGTGCAGTGCCAAGTTGCACATGGGCATTTATAGCAGTTGGGTATTTTGTACTAATTCCTTCTGAACTTA